GTTAAAAAAGAATAAATTTGTATCATCTGCATAAATAATGCTTGCTAGTTTTTAAGCTTTATCGAAGTCATTTATATAAATTAAAAAAAGGAGAGATCTAAAAATTGAACCTTGTGGGACTCCACAGGTTATATTAAGAAAAGTGGGTTGGTAATCATTGTTAAATGGTACAGATTGTTTTCGATTAGATAGATAACTTTTAAACTATTTTAAAATTTTATTTTTTATTCCGTAGTATTTGAGTTTATAAATTAAAATTTGGTGATCGATCGTATTAAAAGCTTTTGATAGGTCAATAAAAATTTTTAGTGTATATTGTGATTTTTCGAATGATTTTGAGATTTCGCGTACAAATTGGATAATTGCACGTTCAGTTTAGTAATTTTTGTTGAAACCAAATTGATTGATGTAAAGTAGATTATTATCATGAAAATATTTGTATATTCTGCTAAATATAAATTTTCTAAAATTTTCGAAAATGTGGAGAGAATAGAGATAGGGCGATAATTACTGATTTCAGATTTGTCCCCTTCTTTAAAAAAAAGAATAATTTTTGCAATTTTTAATTATTCTGGGAATACTCCTTGATGGATAGAAGCCCTAACGATTTTAAAAAGAATAACTTTAAATTGTTCAAAGCAATCTAAAGCCGCGTTTCCATTAATTTGATATGCTCCAATTGCCTAATTTTTTTAAACAGATTTGAAGGCTCTTCCAAATTCATCAAACATTAATTCGGAAGATAAAATCATCTTTTCATTATTTATTCATCTGAAAAAATGCAATTATTCAGGGGTTCTAGATAATCAGTAAACAAAAATTTGGCCTTAGGGATTTTTTCAGACAGTGTTGGTCCTATATGAGTGAAATATTTGTTAAATTCTTGAGCTATAGTTTTTGATTCACATAAACATGTACATTTGTACATAAATGCTATAAATCCATAATTACCTTTTCATAATATAATTGTCTGTAATGTATATAATTAAAGACTTTAGACCTTTCCAGACAAATAAAGTATGCACTAATAGATAATTTTCAAATATAATATTTTTAAAGATAGATTTAAGAATAATTCTCTGTTTGATTGTTATTTAAAAGCAATAGTTTTAGCTTTTGTTTAAACTGTTCAAGAGTTGTAAGTGTTTTAATATCATAACTAATTAACTTATTCCATACATTAGGTCCTCTAATAGTTATTGAGAACATGGTGAACTCATATATAGTTTTGGGTTGAACAAAGTTGTTATTTGAATATTTAGTCATGTATTTGTGTTGAATTTTTTTAAATAATAGTTTGAAGATATTTGGTATTGTATTATTATTAGTTTTATACACAAAAGTTAGCAAAAAGATATATATTTAATTGGTACAAGTTTAATATTTCTAGATTGTTGAACAATGGTCTAGAATTGTTAAAGCTTAAGGTTTATTAATAGTAATGAGGCAATTTTTTGGACTATTAAATAGTGTGCTAAGTACCTTTTGTGCTTTAAGTTAAGTTCATTAACAAATCTAAAAATGTTTAATGAACTTAAAACTACAAAACACAAAAAAACATCTTCTTCACCGAGTTCTCTAAATTTATCATTCACTAATATTCGTGATTTTAAAGTAAATTTTCTTTTGTTTAGTCTTATCTCTTGTAAAGTTTACAAGACCTACTTTCTCTTTGTGAGACTAATTTGAGTTCAGCTATCTTATCTTGTGATCTTTGTGTTGATGGTTATCTTCCTTTAATTGATAGACTCCAATAGTCATTCACATTCCGAAGAGTTTGCTCATTTGTCAGGAAACTAGGTTTGAATCCATATACTATTGTTATCACTTTTCTCTTTTTTCTATATCGCTCTCCTTCATCTCAAGACTGCACTCTTTTTGATGTTATTTTTAATCAAATTGACCAAGTTGTTTTTCTTTGTCCTTTAGCCCATATCGTAGTTGTTGGTGACTTAAATATTTATCAAACTAAATGGCTTAGCTCTAGTCTCAGTAACTCTGCAGGCATTAAGGCATTCAACTTTTGTCTTTTTCAAACATAAATAATAAACACAAATCAAATTTTTCTTGCTTTCCAGGCAATGAGAATCATTAACCTTCTTTTTTTAACTTATGTATTTTTTTCTGATCCTTGTCAGTTATTCCATATTCTTCCTTAGGTGCTTCTGATTACGGTTTTTCTCTCTAAAAATATTATCTTATTCTTCTCCATCATCAGAATCTCCTTATCATTGTACCTCTTACAACTACCTTGACTCTTTCTGGGACTCTTTCTGTGATTTTCTTTGTGATGGCTTTTGGATAGAAATCTTCGTGCTGACAAATGTACTTCTTATCTAATTTCTTTGATTCAGACTGGCGTGGAATCTTTTATTTCTACTCAACGATTCTCAAAGAATTGTTGAATCAAAGTCAAGTCCTCACTCTTCTCTATGGTTTTCCTTATATTGTGCTGCTGCAATTTCTAATCGTACTCATTACTTCCATATCTATCACAAAACAATTTTCTAGAAAACAGACGTCTGTTTATATTTGCTAGAAACCATTGTAAAAAAGTTTTGTCTAATGCCTAAGTCCGCTATTCTCAGGTCAAAAAATCTTGTATTTTATTTCAAAAATTAGGCTCCAGAGACTTCACGAGAATCTTTAACAGTGTTTATAATAAGAGCAAATCTGCTATTCCGCCTCTCTTGCATGGTTTAGATTTTGTTACCTCATATAAAGACAAAGCTGAACTGATTGCTAAGAACTTTTCATCAATATTATCTCAAGATTCCACTAAACACAACCTACCTGATATAGCCAACAAACAGGTTGATCCATTGCATGACATTCATATCACTTCAGCTTCTGCATATAAAGTGATTTGCTGCTTAGTCTCTTCTATGCTCCGGACAACATACTTGTAGTCTTGCAGATGTGTTTTCCAGAGCTGTCGTCTATACTTTTAAAACTATTTAACAAGTGCTTATCAGAGTCTTGTTTTCCAGCTTGCTGGAAGCCGGCATCAGCCGGTTATCCCAATTTTCAAAAATTCTAGAGAGCGATCTGAATTGTCTAACTGCCGTCCTATTAGTTTTCTTAACTATCATAAGCAAGGTTTTTGAGTTTTTAATTAACAAACACTTAATCTCCCATCTTGAATCTAATAACTTACTTTTTGATCATCAGTATGGATTTCAATCTTCTTATTCTACTGCTGATTTGTTAAAAGTAATAACCGATAGGCTTTATTATTCTTTTGATAGATGTGGAGAGGTTAAGGCTATCGCTCTTGACATTTCTAAAGCCTTTGATAACGTTTGGCATACTGGTCTTCTCCATAAGCTTTTTACTGTGTTTCAGGTAACAATTTTATGATTATTAAATCCTTACTTACCAATTGTACCAATAATACCAATTGTAGTAATAAAGTTAAGAAAACTATAAGAGCGCTTTTCTCGATGGAAATTCTTCTTCATTTTTTCACTCATTTTCATTTTCTGAAACTTCAGAAGTTGCTCAATATTCTGTTCTTAACACTATACTTTATAAAATTTACATTAAAGATCTCCCAGAAATTTTCACATCTAAGGTTGGATTGTTTGCTAATGATATTACTACTTATTCTTACCTTGATAAGAAGCCAAACTCTGTGATTGCTTGGAGAAAGCATTTGAACTTAAAAAGGATCTCACTTCTGCTACAGCATTGAGCCTCAATGGCTGGTGAATTTTAACTTAGGTAAAACTCAAATTTTTCAGCTAATTGTCATTGCAATAATCTAGATCTTCCTTTATTTAGGAACGGTAATGTACTCGATGAGACATCTACTCTTCGTTTTTTAGAGTTAACTCTCTTTCAAATTTCAAATCAATTGTAAAATTAGCATCTTTTTTATCGTACTCGCTACTTTCTTATTCCAATTTCTGTCTATTAATATCAACTCCGTCTTTGTATCGCATACTGTTGCCATATCAGGAATGGATCTTCAAATGACGCCCTTTCTCTTTTAAAAAAGGTGCAAAAACGCATTTTAAACATAGTTGGACCAGCTTTTGCAGCTAACCTTTAACCATTGTGACATCATCGTAATTTTGCTTCTCTTTTTCTTTTCTATAAATACTAAAATGAGCGCTGCTCTAAAGAGCTAGTGTCTCTTGTGCCATCTACTAAAACTCATTCTCGTGTTACTCGTCGTTCAATAAAGTCTTACCATTTGACTGTGTTACTAAGTGCTAAAAAACTTTTTATTCGTCTAGTTTTTTTCCTCAAACATTAGTTCTTTGGAATTCGTTCCCTTTATCTTGTTTTCCTGAATTATATAATTTGCAATTTTTTAGGTCGTCTGTAACCCCAGTGAAATCAACAATAAAAAAAATTTCACTTTTTTTGTTGATGATTTTACTTGGGATTAACAAACGAGCTGTTCCAATTTAGAAAACCGGTTACTTTGATTGGAACAAAATAATGTCTTAAAAAACCTGAACTTTTTTTCAATCAACATTGCAGTCATAAATGATAAATAAACCTCGAAAGCAATTGGTAAAGACATTTCACGAGGTTAAAATTATTTCGTTTTATCTCCCCATTAAATTAAATATACTAATACACAAACAATTTTTCGAGTAAGAATACTAAATTATTCCAATGAAATTTTATTTATCTTATACAAAGTAGTTATATGTTATAGCTTGTCTAAATGTCTAAAAATACCAATGCACAAACAATTTTTCGCGTACGAATAGTGAAATATTCCAATGAAATTTTATCTATCCTACACAAAGTAGTTAAATGTCATAGCTTGTCTAAATGTCTAAAAAATACCAATGCACAAACAATTATTCGTGTACGAATAGTAAAATATTTCAATGAAATTTTATCTATCCTACACAAATTAGTTAAAACTGAACCTAGCTTTTCTAAATGTTTCGTTAAATACTCTAATGAACTTTAACATAATTAAAAAAAAACAAAAAACGATTGAAACGTACTTCCAATTAATGCAAAATATATATAAGTTAAACAACAGTTATTACAAAATTTAAAAAATAAATATAAAATAATGACGTAGCTCTACACAAAATTGATATATAAAATATGACAGCAAAACTTCACACAAAACTGTTATTTAAAATATGACATAACAAAACTTTACAAAAAATTGATATAAAAAATATGACAGCAAAACTTTACAAAAAATTGATATATAAAAAACGGCTCAGCAAAACTGTGCACAAAATTGATATATTAAATATTAAATATGGGTGTTAACGAAATTTTTTTTTATAAATAAAAAATTGAATTTTAATATATAATAATAACAGATCAAAAATATTTATAAAACTGTTTAATTAATCGAATGATTCACTAATTACGATTAAGGGTCAGTATATTCGTTTTTATAAACCATTCTTGGTGGCGCTACTGATGGAGGTTGAGCTCTAGTTAATGTTTTTTTACTCACCGTCTCTTTTTCACAGGCAATCCACTGTTCATCAGCAATTGCGGCCTTTAGATAAATAATTGAAGTTATAATGAGACATATACCTCCCAAAACCGTACCAACACAAAATAAGCAAGGAACACCAGATCTAATTGTAAAAAACATAATACTAAATAGTACTAATGCAATAATTTTTTCTCCTTGAGTAATTGTTTTATATATTTCACTAATTAATAAAAGGATAATAGATGATTAAATCTTTAAAAAAAATTGAATTAAAAGAACAAAAATTATTTAAAGTTAATTGCAAAATAATTTTCTAGACAAAAATGTTTAAATATTTTCAGTAAACTGTAAGTAATTAAAAAAACGGATTATAATATCGAATAAAATATATATTTAAAAAATGCTATATATATTAGTAATAATATAGCAAATTTATGTTCTTTTGTAAAAATCTCATGTTGTTTATATCTATTTTGGTAAATATGTTGAAAGGTTTACACATGTGTACAAAAAAATATGCTGAAAGGTTTACATGTGTACAAAAAATAGTTCGTAAGAATATTATTTCAAACTAATACAATCAAATATTAAAAAAATGTTCAACAGAAATTGTTCACTAGCAACTGAAATAAGTGGGCGAATTTTAAAAAAGAAAATAGTTAATTATATAAATGATGAAAACATAATGACGAGAGAGAACTCGAAAGCACGAATGTTAATGAAAACTTGATAAAAGTTTTCTAAACATAAAAAGTTGCAACTCATCTTTGCTGAATATCGTAAAAGATTAAATTTTGTTAAATATGGAGCCAGACGATAGTTCATTTTCTAAATGGAGCCAGAGCTGTCTTGAAATTTGTCATTCAGAATTGCTACATTCTTTTCATGTAGCTGTTCCTCAAATCAAAAGATTTTATTTATATAGTTCCATCATTGTTTCAGAATTCCATCACCTTTAAGTTTTTCTAAAATTATACAATTTACAGTTTTTATCAAGTAAATCTTCTTACCAATTGCTTTCTCTACTTCTTAATTGCTTTCGCTACTTCTCAATTGCTTTCTCTACTTTTAATTGTTTCTCTATTTCTCAATTGCTTTCTCTACTTCTTAATTGCTTTCTCTACTTCTCAATTGCTTTCTCTACTTTTAATTGTTTCTCTATTTCTCAATTGCTTTCTCTACTTCTCAATTGCATTCTCTACTTCTCAATTGCTTTCTCTATTTCTCAATTGCTTTCTCTACTTTTAATTGTTTCTCTATTTCTCGATTGCTTTCTCTACTTCTTAATTGCTTTCTCTACTTCTCAATTGCATTCTTTACTTCTCAATTGCTTTCTCTACTTCTTTAACTCTCTTCTCTTCTTTAACTTCTTAAGTAATAAATAATAAATAATCAAAAATCATTAAAATATACAGCCAAACTAAACTTTATGTTTTATATTATCCAGTCATAAAAAGAAATAGTCAAATCAGAAAAATAAAACGATTGAAAAACTTTAACATCCAAACTTAAATCTCAGCTTTATCGTCAATAAGTACTTTTTTTGCTGCTGTAATTTTTCTAGTAAGTACTTTTTCCTGCTTCTCAGACGCAACTCTCTTTAGTGCATTATACTTTAGAATTGCTGACTTTATTTTTATCAATGATTTCTGCTTTTCCACTTGCAATGCATACTCATCTGCATCATATCTGAGCTGAATTATGGTACCTTCAAGGGTGTGAATTTGTTCATTATAACTAGTAATCTCTTTATTACTTTTTCAGTTTCACTGTCAGTTTTTAAGGCATTCAGGGATTTCTCTTTCTGACTGCTAAAGTATATTTTTTGTGCATCCTTGACATGTTCCTTGACATGTTTAGCTGTCATAGCCGATTGATTTTACATTTTCACTACACATGTGGTCATGTACAATTCTCTGTCCTACAAGAGTATCAGTTAGCATTATTATCCAGAAGTTGGTCATTTATACTAAATCCATGCTCTACTTGTTACTAATATTGGCCATGGGACAACATTAGTAACAATTGGTAAATTTTCATCAAGTTCTTGAATCTCGAAGCATCTGTATATTGAACCAAAAAAGAATCCAATCTATCACTTTCTTTTTTGAACCAAAGAAATTTTTTCTTGTTCACTTTCACAACAATAGTTAAAAATTGTGAATACTGTAATTTAGCTTGATCAGCAACTAAAGGTGATACCTTTTTATAAGCAACTAATTTCACACACAATAAAATTCACACATGTGTGAATTTTATTTGACAAGTTGTTGCTGAAATTAGTTGCTTATAAAAAGGTATCACCTTTAGTTGCTGATCAAGCTAAATTACAGTATTCACAATTTTTAACTATTGTTGTGAAAGTGAACAAGAAAAAATGGTTGAACCTCATGAGATGTATCTCATGAGATTCAACCATGTACAAAGGTGATAAACATAATAAGTATCTGGCAAAGTTTTGTAAATGAGCAAAGTAAAGAGCACTTTTTTCAACCATATGTTTCAACTAAAAACCATATGTTGTAACTAAAAACTTATGTTTTAAAATTATAGATTTGTGCATTAGTAACTTTTTTCTAGATTTCAGTTGCTGCAACTCATTTTATTCCAAACCCAAGATTAATATTGCAACCAAGATTTGAATTTTGACATCACTGATATCAACTTTTAATAATTTAAAAGTCGTGGATGCTTCAGACAAAACTTCTTTTTTGATAAATTTTGATAAAAATAGCCTCAGTAAATTCTTAAGTGTTTCCACAAGAAAAGGTGTCATAAGATTGTTGTTTTGGAAAACTAACAAAAAAGAATTTAACAGTTTTGCAGTTTCCTTAAAAAATTGCAACTTTATAAGGACTAACGCATTTTTATAGCATGAAGAAAGGTATTCATAACTAGTATTTTACCCAGGCTTACATTGACCAGGTTGCTTGCTTTTTGGTAAATTTTTCCAAAAGTCAATAATCACAATAATCTTGGGCCATATTTCCATAGCTCTATTTGTTACTTTCTCATTTTCAATCCAATGATGGCTACAGAACTGTAGAGCATAGTCTGAAGACTGAGCTTGAGTAAGATTTTCCAAATCAGCATGACGAGAAGGGCTCTCATGGAATATCTTATACAATAAAGACAGTAATTTGTTCAATTTCCATCCTGAACAATTTGTACCATTCTTGAATAAATAGTGCATTGTGTGAAGGCTGCATGATCCAACTGATACTAACTGACTGAGTTCACATTCACTTCTCTTAGCATTCAAATTAGAGAGGAAAGACATGTTAACATTTGGACCATCCATGAAAACCTAATGCATTTTATCTACTTCTAAACTACTCATACATTTACAGAAATTTATCATAATACCGACAGCAGCAGCTGTCGGTATTAAGATTTATCAAATTGGCAAACAAACTGATCAAGGTCTGATACTGAATCACACAAAATTTCCTTAAAATACGGTGCAATTCCAAAGCACACAAGATAAGTAAACTTTGTTTTCCCACAAGAAAATTGTTTAGCTATTTGACTATCACTAAAGATTGCAGTAAATAATTCAGATTTGTTTGCACTTGATCGAAAAGAATCTTTTGAAAGCACAACATCAACTGCCCACATTATCTGCTTTCTTTCCTAACTGCGACTCTGCAATAAATACAATAGAAGCTTGCTGTGGACACATTGTCGCTTTTGAGCTAGTTGGTGGTTCTACAACAGTTTTCAATTTATAACAGACAGGCATATGTTGTTTGTGTTTGTTACCATTAGCATGTTTTTCCAACGCCTTTGTACCCAGACCTGCAACAGAAATGACTTTCAAAAATACCTTACATTTTACCGAATACAAATCGTTGGGACATTTTTGTACCCATTGTTTATAATTATTGTCATTTAACCAATGATCTTGAAATTTAGATTTATATTTGACTGACATTTTCTAATCTAAAAATACAAAAATATTTAGGTTAACTTAGTAAAATAAAAACGTGAATAAAAATAATTTTAATTCCAAGAATTGCCACTAACAGAAATAAGAAAAAAGTAGAGCTAGAAGTTAGATTTTTGCATAAAGTTTTTATACTTTTAAAATTTTTAAAGTATAAAAACTTATGCACCCAGTATTAAAAACTTACTTTTTTTGCACATTATGGCAGTGTAAAGTTAGAAAAAATAACAGAACACAATATTTTTTATAATAAACAGTTAAAAAAAAAATTAATAACATTTTTTCATAATATATTAAATATATTCATACATAGATAAATAAATTAATAAAATGAATATGTGAAAAAACTAAATTTTGTAAATATGCAAAAGCATGTTAAAAAAATTTTCAAAACAAATGCTGTTAAATATTACCCATGTCAACATGTTAAATTTACCATGTTAAATTTATACCATTAAACAAATATAACTTAAGTGTATACAGTGTACACCATTGGCTCAACTGGTGGCTCAATGACTGTTTGCATTTCTTTTATCACTCACAGGCATATATTGTTTATATTTTTATTCATTAACATGTATTTTCAATGTGTTTGCATCTAGATCTGCAACAGACATAACCTTCAAAACATAGTACATAAAACATTCAAAAAAACATGTTTTTTTCATTAACATGTATTTTCAATGTGTTTGTATCCAGATCTGCAATAGATAAAACTTTTAAACATACAACAATTATCTAGATTATATTTAAAAAAATCCGAATATATTTTTCAAAGAACATTTAACAAATGTTAAACAATGCAGAATAATTTATTTTACAAATTTAGCATTCGGCTTTCTCAACTTTATGATAAGTGATAATTGAAAAAGTTTACAAAAAAAAGGTATTACAAAATTATATTTTTAGAAAAAAACTTATGGCAAAAAGGAGTAGTTAAAAGAAAGATATCCAGAAATAAAAAAATCATCAAACATACCTAACATAATACATAATAAAATAATACCAAATATAAATTTTTATATTTATTGTCTTTTAACTGCTTTTAAAATTTAGCTTTATATTTGACTGACATTTTCTATTCTGAACGTACAAAATTATTTTAGGTCAACTTAATTAAAATAAAATTTTAATAAAAATAATTTTGATATTCAGAACTTAGGCAGAAATAAAAGAAGCTAAAATTTTATTAGAATAATATTTTTAAATTATTAAAATATTACAAAAATATTAAATAAAATATAAATATTGCATTTGAGTAAATTATTTTCTGTCAGTAAACAACAGCACTAACTCCAAGTCCGATCCATTTCATTAACTTTATTGTTGATTGGCTGATAATAGTTTATGCATTATACTCAGGACAAATAAACTAGGAGAATTTAGAAGTATTTGAGAAAATCACCTATACTTTAGGAGAAATTAGTTCTTTTTAGGATGTTTTTCAAATATTAGGACATTTTAGGATTTTTTAGGAGGCGTGACCACCCTGAATACATTATAAAAATGAGTTAGAAGTAAATACATTAAAAAAAATATGATACATTATAAAAATGAGAGAAACTGTAACAAAGGAATTAAATAATTAAAACAATCAAAAAAACATAATTATTCAATCAAAAAAACATAATTATTCAATCAAAAATTATAATTATTCAATCAAAAAAACATAATTATTCAATCAAAAAAAATTTAATTATTCAATCAAAAATCTTAATTAATTGGAAAATTTTAAAAAGCAGCTTTTATTAAGGTTACTAAGGTTACTAAAAACACAAACTTTGAAACTTTAAAACAAACTTGACTTACAGCAAATAAAAAACAAATCTTATAAAATAGTTTCTGCCAAACACCCCAAGCATTGAAACAAATTTCGTAAAAATAAATTGAAAGCTAAAGAACAAAATTTCAAAACTTCATTATAAAATCATTTGTGCATCTCAATACTCTCACATAAATTTATTTAAGAAAAATCATACAATATATTATTATACTATAAATTGTAAAATATACTAAAACTTAAACTTAAACATCAATTTAGTTGAAATTTTTGTTTACCCTTAAATGTGTAATATTACCAATAAACCCATTAAAATACCATCTACCAAACCTGTACCATATTACATTAGATAAAAAATGTTGTATAAATTATTATTGAACACAAAATTGTTGTATAAAATAGTTTAAATAAATGTAATTTTCAAAAATATTTTATAATCATACCAAACACTAAAAACTCAAGAAAGAATTCATTTATTTAGAGTTTAAATGTAAGAAAAAATTTATTTGTTCAGAATCTAAACTCAAAAAAGAATTTATTTATTTCTAAACATCAAACTTTATTTATGCTAAAAAAATAATTTGTTTGCATGTACACCAAACTTTATTTATGCTAAAAAAATCATTTCTTTGCATGGACACCAAACTATACAATGATTTACCAATTAACTTTTAAAAAAAATGAAGCTTTAATAAATTCAATTCTAAATTTATAAAAAATGTGTTAATATGTCATTTTTAATATCCTAATCATTTTTAATATAATAATATATTTTTAATATTTTAATTATAATTTTAATATGTGTTCTATTATTATTACTATATTACTATATGCTCAGTTTTTAACTTTTAAGATAATTATTTCCTTGGTTCCTCTAACAATCATAATTTATTTGCATATTAATTCATATCTTTCTCAATTTAACATAAAATGTTGTTGAACAAACATTATATTGAAAAAAATTGTGCAGAAAAACTACTTTCTTATTTTGTAAGTTTTATGCTTGGTAACTCCAAAGACAAATTCCAAAAAATTGTAACATTCTGCCCTGATGCTAATTATATATATATATATATATATATATATATATATATATATATATATATATATATATATATATATATATATATATATATATATATATATATATATATATATATATATATATACAGTGGTGTACAGTCGATTTGTAGATATTTGAATTTTGACACTTACAGGCATTGTAAACTCCAAACTTTTGTATGTTGATTGGCTTATGTCAAATGAGAATGTTTTGCAAAGAGTTGCGATGATTGGAGCTTGGGGACAAAAAAAAAAACCAATTTTTGGGCCCACCCAGCCCTTAACATGGGAGCAACACGTTTATAAAATATATTCTTTAATATTTCTATCTAAGTTTATATTCATCAACAAACTTCAAATTTCATGCAATAATCTCATATTTAAAAATTATGACCATATAAAGTTTTAACCCCCCTCAAAAAAAAAAAAAAAAACTAAAAAAAATATATTATAAATGGGTTTGCCCCCACATTAAGGGCTGGGTGGGCCCAAAAATTGGGGTTTTTTTTGTCCCAAAGAGTTTGCAAAGAGTTGCGGTGATTGGACCCAAGCTCCAATCACCGCAACTCTTTGCAAAACATTCTCATTTGACATAAGCATCAACATACAAAAGTTTGGAGTTTGCACAATGCCTGTAAGTGTCAAAATTCAAACATCTAACAATCATAATTTATTTGCATATTAATTCATATCTTTCTCAATTTAACATAAAATGTTGTTGAACAAACATATTGAAAAAAATTGTACAGAAAAACTACTTTCTTATTTTGTAAGTTTTATGCTTGGTAACTCCAAAGACAAATTCCAAAAAATTGTAACATTCTGCCCTGATGCTAATTATATATATATATATATATATATATATATATATATATATATATATATATATATATATATATATATATATATATATATATATATATAATATATATATATATATATATATATATATATATATATATATATATATATATATATATATATATATATATATATATATATATATATATATATATATATATATATATATATTATATATATATATATATATATATATAAATATAAATAATTAGCATCAGGGTATGAGTTAAAAGGATTCAACACCCTATAATATTTAATGGGTCCCTAATATTTTCAAAAAAAAAAGTTTTACAAAAATATGTCAATCTGGTACTCAAATGAAACGAAATTATATAAAAATTTCAAAAATTATATTCATTTTGTAAAAATTTTATCTTAACAAAATTATCAAAAAAAGCAACAAAAAATATATTTTTTTCATTTTTTGTTAAAAAAAAAAAACATCATTTTTAAAAGTAATAAAACCAAAAATAACAATTTTTTTCAAAATGAATATTAATTTTGAAATTTTTATATAATTTTGCTTCATTTGAGTACCAGGTTAATATACTTTTGAAAAACTTATTTTTTGAAAATATTAGGGATCCATTAAATATTTGAGGGTTATGAGGGTCCCCTTAAAAAAAATTTTATTCAAAAAAATTTTAAATCTAGAGTTTTTGTATTAGATAGAACATATTTAGGGGGTAGGAGCAGGTTTTTCTCAAAAAAATTGTTTTAAGGGCCACCCTAATATATATATATATATATATATATATATATATATATATATATATATATATATATATATATATATATATATATATATATATATATACATATATACAAATATACATATACTAAATTATATTGATACAATATGTATATATATAAACATATTATATCAATATAATTTAGAGTGTAATAACTTTATATTTATCAGTTATATATGCCCTCGAAATTAGCAAAAATGAGATTGGCAATTTTTTGCCAGCCATAACTTGTCAAAGGTCAGAATAAAAAATTTGACAAAAAGATTTTACTATGTATGTATGTATATATATATATATATATATATATATATATATATATATATATATATATATATATATATATATATATATATATATATATATATATATATATATATATGTATATATATATATATATATATATATATATATATGTATATATATATATATATATATATATATATATATATATATATATACTATATATATATATATATATATATATATGTATATATATATATATATATATATATATATATATATATATATATATATATATTTTATGGTAAATTTAATATTATAGGACAGAAAAAAATTAAAAAGTTAATTTTTTTTGATAAAATGAAAAATGGTTGGTTGCCCCTGTCTTATAGATTTTGGAAATAGATCGAGGAGCACAGATGTCTGGCACCTTTTTAACGCCAAAATATACATATTTTTTTACTGAAAATAGCAAAGATATTTTGAACTGAATTTCACTTGAATTTGTTCATAAAAGTTTCAAATAAAATAAAAAATACAACAACTCGTATTAATAAAATATCAATAAAATTAAAAAATTAAAATAATAAAATATAAATATTTTAACTAGAATTATAAGCACAAAATAGATAATTCAAAAATTAATTTTTGTACACATTTTATTGAGCATACATAGTTTTATTGGAAATGTATCAAGATTAAGCTATTATAATATTTATATTTAAAAAACTTTTTCAAAAAAATTTATTAATGTAATTGAAGCGTCTAACCTATTGTTACACCATTTTATTTTATAAAACTATATTTTTATATAAAAATATCACTTTTAAATATTCTTTTTTATTATTATCATTATAATTTTAATATCATTTAATGAACTACTTTGTAACCACTGGTAAACCTTGTTGAAATAAAAACATTGGTAAGC